TGTGTGTGTGTGTGTGTGTGTGTGTGTGTGTGTGTGTGTGTGTGTGTTGGGGGGTATGTGGTGTGTGTGCCGTGTGTGATGTGTGTGGTATATATGTATATGTGGTGTACGATGGGCGCATGTATATGTGTGTGTGCGCATGTGTGGTGTGTGTGTGTCTGTGTGGCTGTGTGGTGTGTTTGAGTGGAAGGTATGTGTAAGCAGAGGAGGATACTTTCTTCCTAATTCAGAAGTCATCTTGACAGATCATTACACAGCCAACAGGAAGTTAGTTCTTGGCTATTTGCACAAATCTTTTCCAGGAGGGAATTAGCCCTCAGGATGCTGGAATCAGCACGGCCAACAGCAGCCTCTGCACCACCACCCTGCTCCCTTGACTCCCTCCACTCTCTGGGTTACCTGAATTACAGGGGCTGGTACTCCCAGGAGTGGTGGTGAGGGGTCAGAGGTCTGCATCGTAAAGACTTTTTTTCCATTAATTTAAAACAAGGTGTTTTTCATGAATTTAAAACAGCTTTGTAATGACCCATGACCAAGCTGAGGCTGTTACCCAAATTGGAGAGGGAGGAGGTGTGGGGAGGGAGCAGACAATAGGTATGATGCCCTGAAGACCGCAAGTCCTCTTTCCCTGGATGTGGTTAAAGAAAAGTACACCCCAGCCCTCTGGGTTATTTGAGCGGGCAATTGTTCCTAGATGCCTGGTTAAACATCCTGGTGATTTTTGGGGTGCTGATCTGACCCTCCCTCTGTCCTGTGGGTTCCTTCCCGTTCTTCTCTACCTGGGTGCTGAGCCTGATCCTCAGCAGTAGGCTGGGGGATGTGGAATACAGAGGGAGAGGTGACCCTTCCTTTAGGAGGATGGGAATGATGTTCCTTGAATCTAAGACATGGATAGAAGGTGCCTTTACCAGGTCGTGTCACACTGACCACTCTGAGTGACTTCACCAGTCTTTCTGGCAAGCACCTGTGGCCACTGCAGTCACAACTTTTTTCCTTGAGCTGGTAGAAGCTGACCAGTCACCTTGGTCAAGTGCACCAGGTATGACTAGGAGGTAAACTGGCTGAATTTTACCTAAGCTTGCCAACAAAATGTTCTCAGAGTCAATGTCCCAGGCTTTGGATATCTCAAAGTGGCACATCATGTACTTCTGAAAGGTGAGCTAATATTTGGAAATGATCAACTACCTCTTGGAACCAAAGGTGAGAAAGAAGGTGGAGAGAGGTTTGGGCTGAAACTCGATTTGGTTCCTTCATCACAAGGCTCCCTTGTTGTCTGGCTTCCAGACTAATTCTGAAAGTCATTTTGAAAGGGGAGACCATTTTGGAGCAATGGAAGTCCATTGGCATGAGTATGGCTTTCCAAAGTGATGAGCTGGAAGAATGTAGAGAAGTTCTGGTTTATGTGAGACAAATAGATTCTCCCCTCTATTACCATCCAGTTAGCACTTGGCCTTTGCCAAGTCTTTGGAGCACTTAGCACTCAATCCCTCAATCCCTTTATCCTGCCAGGATGGAGATTTGAGGACTATCAGACCCTGGAGAGTTGCAGGTGAGGGACTAATCTGGGGAGACTTCCTGGACCCAGAGGCCCCAGGAAAGGAGCTGGAATGTGGGCCTTCAGGGCTGGGGACTTGTGTAAGTCTTACTTAGTGTAAGGCTCGGATGCAGAATTGGGGAAAATGAGTGAGTGGAAGTGACGTTGGGCACCAGCAGAACAAGGGAATATCAGAGGATAGGCAGAGGGGGGCAGCTGGTAGAAAGCTGAGGTAAATTGTGACAATGGGGCTTGAAACCGGGGGAGAGGGAGGTCGTTGTGGTTGCCCGCTGTTCTGTGTCTTTGGATAATTGGAGGCAGTTCTGAAGTGCGGTCGGAACCTGAGGTAGGTTTGCATCCTCTCCACTTCCGGTCCTGGAAGGGCACTTCCTAACCCTCAGAGGGGCTGGGGGTCGAGCCAGGCGGCGTGGAGAGCCAGTCTCCTCGTGGAGGTGACTTGGACAAATAGGGTTTTTATGTTCTTGTTAATTCATGTGGGAGCCTGGGGCCTCATGGGGCTGGAGGTTGAGGAAAGGAGCTGCCCGTGAGGTTTGCAGGAGGCAACTAGTCTTGTTCTCTGCTGAGGTTCTAGGAACTCCAGAGGCCACTGCCCTGAAATGCCCCCAATTGGCCACAAGTCCTGGCTCCCTCCAGTGCTCCGGCTCTGTCCTGGGTAGAATTCCAACCTCTTCCCCACTTCCTGTTCTGAGTTAATGACAAGCAAGGGGCCTGCCTGCTGGGCAAGTGGGAGCATTTAACCTCCTTAAAGACTTAGAAACACTTGGCCCAGGAAGGTGTCAGGGAGAAGTCATTGCATCCACAGCCATATGAACGGCAGAGAGAAGGGAGGCCAATGGGCCAGGCTGAGGGTTTAAAGGAGAGGACGAGAGAGGCATTCCTTCCCCTGCCTTATATTCTGAGTGTCAGATTTCTGCTGTGTCCCTCATTCCCTGTGTCATGCCTTAGCTGTCCACCTTTCTCAGTGTAGGTGCAGGGAGGATGGCTCTGGCTTTATGTGCTTTCTCTGATATTTGTTTTTAAGACCTAATCCATAGACTTGATCCCCCTTCCCACGGGGAGAAATCCAGCTTCCTTGTCAGTATCTGTGTGGATTCCCAGGAGCTTCTGCTCTTCTGAGCCTTTTCCCTCTGGCTTTCTTCCTGCTCAGCTGTCACTATCATTGGGTCTTGATTCCTGGAGCTGTTCTCTGTGCCTTGAATACCCCCAAATATGGGACACAGCCCCTTTCTCTGAATTTTTCTGAGCAACACCAACATAAGTTTTCTGTCTTTGCTGAAAATTTGGGGTTTAATTCCAGCACAAGACCGCTTTAATAGTGAGTATGAATCATCCGTGTCCCAAATTTCACTGGCCCTGACCGCCACCGGGAACATCACACCATCTCTCGCTCCCTGGACCTTCACGCTCTCCAGGCTATTATCTTTCCCCTGCGCCCTTACGCATGCACCCATTTTTCATCTCCTCACTCTGTCAGTGTTTATGGACACCTACCATGTGCAATGTGCTGATGACACATTAGTTTAAATAGTTGAGTTCTCTTTGTCTCCTACCACACAGGGAACTGTACCTTTCTCCACGGAGGATGCAGAACCCACCCCAGACATGTTGACGTTTTTACACCACATACCTCAGCCAGAGAGAAAACTTCGTATCCTGAGATACGTCACAACAAACCACAACTCTGTGAAGCACTATTCCTCTATTCTGACCCTTTATCCTGTGAGATGTTAAGTGTGTTTCTACCAATGAAATAAGGAACAGACCAACCGTCACTTAGTTGCTTTCCTTTACTTTCTGTGTGTGTTATCCAGAGAGTCCAGTTCTTCCAAGGGAATTCTCTGTAAGCACTGCAAATAAAGATACTTTATTTTAAATGTTCAAATTTGCCTCTGAGTTTTCTTTTGACATCCTTTCTTTGGGTGTTAAGCAGAGCTCACTGAGATGTTCTCTTCTGCACAAAAAATGTACAGCTGGATAAATTATGCCATTATTTTGCAGGGCATGAGGTCTATAGCCACTTATTTTTGTTATAAATTATTCTATAATAAGAACGATGTAGGGGCATCAGGGTGGCACAGTCGGTTAAGCATCTGACTCTTGATTTGGGCTCAGGTCATGCTCTTGGGGTTGTGAGATCGAGCCCCGTGTCGGGCCACCCTGGTGGGCATGGAGCCTGCTTGGGGTTCTCTTCTTCCCTCTGCCAGCAGGTTTGGGAAGAGGAGGTGGCCTGGACAGCCTGCGGGCCCTGCCAGTGCGTGCTCCCTGGTAGGGTCCGGATTCTGTTAGCTGGCCTGTTTGAATCCTGGGTTTTTGTTTTTTAATTCCTCATTTATTTTTCTTAAATGAGATCATGCTGAACAGTCCGGACTACTTCTGCTGGGCTAAATGAATTAAACAAAAAGTATTTTTCCATGCATGAGCCAGGTGGGATTCCACGGGCCAGAATGTGGTGAGACAGCAGTGACACTCTCTAGAACGGCTCGTGGGAACAGCTTCTGGCCTGGCTACTTCCCTCTGTCTTCCAGCATAAAGCTCGTACTTAATGTTTCTGAAATCAGAGTTAAGAAAAGAGGACAGTTTTTACATCCAGGGATAATTTAAAGGCTGAGTCTTCAAAGAGGGTCAGGGTTGTGGGGAATGGTGAGAAAACTAGCCCTCTTCGAGTCGAGCATCTGGCTGAGATCCAGGCGTGGTACCAAGGGACGCAACAGGGTAGGATGGTTTCTGTCAGAACTGTGGACATATTCTGGGTCTGGATGGACCTCCCCTTGGGCCCCAGCCTTGTTTCCATATCTATTAAGCAGAGTCACCTGATACTAGCGCCTGTCCCTTTGTCTTAGGAGGTTTTTCCCTTCTGCCACACTGATGCTTACAAACGATGAGTTTCTGGCCCCCGGTTGTATCGTGTCCATGGGCAGCATCCTGCCACATGTCTAGTTCACCTGTGGTCTGTGAATGTGGTTCCCTGGGAAACCTTTCCGCGGAGTGGCTGGGAGAGGCTGGATTCTTCTCACGGCTCTGTCAGGGGTACCCTGGGTCTCCTTGGAAAGCCCCCGCACCCTTGGCCTCTGCCCCCTACGGCGTAAAACAAGAGGTTACCCTTAGATCCCTGCCAGGCCCACACCAGTGCCCGCCATCCCGGTGAGGGGGCTGGCCCCTCCCCAAGTCTCCCAGTGCTCTCTGGCCGATGCTAGACTGCCTGCCACGGGGCTGGAGGCTTGTCTAAATGGAAATTTCCCTTTCCAGGGAGGACTCTGAGTCCACGCTCTGGACTGACAGTGTTCACACCTTTTGCCCCCCAACTCCTCTTCCCCCAGCCCCAGGACACTTTTGCCTGAGAGAAACAGTGGGCTAAGGACAGCTTTCTATCAGGTTTGTGTGTTTTCTGCTTCTCCCGGGTCCCACTGTCCATTCTGAAGATGTGGAGGCTGCCCTCTGAGAGAATGAGGAGTGGGGAGCTTTGGGGGAGGCAGTCTCAGGAGGAGAGGCCCTGACAGCCATAGCAAATCCTGGACAGCAGGGGGCGCTGTGGGAGCGGCCTGATGGTCCCCATGGCAATCCTTTCCCCACAGAAGTCATCTGAGGCCACCCCTGCCTAAATCAGACTCTCCCTCACCCACCCAGTCCAGCCCCCTGCCTGTTTCGTTTTGGTAATTCCACAGCGCACTTACATGGAAGGTACTTTGGTGTGTGTTTGTCGAATGAATGAATAATGGAAAGAAACAGAAATCTCTCCCAGGTTCCTACCTTCTATGGGCAAAGGAGAGATGCCCTGACCCCAGCTGGTCAGCTGTGCTTCACTTCCCTTGTCAGGGGACTGAAGTCTCACTCTAAGGCCTGCTGCTTCCAGGTGGCCGGAGACTCTGGAAGTGGGTAGTGCGGAGTCCTGAGCAGTGGTCTTGAATCACAGCTCTGATTACGCGCAGGTTCTGTTCTTTATCTGACCAAATCCCAGGGAGCTCCATCCAACTCCAAGGATATCCCTGAGAGGGAGACTCACAGGCAGGGGTGTCGGCAAGCCTCGGACCAGGACCATGCACTGGAAGGAAGGTGGGAATGCCCTCCTGTGGCCTCTGATGGGAGGATAACCAAGAAACTGAGGTTTTGGAACACCTGGGGACCTGGGCCAGCATCTATCATTTTCCTCTCCAGGTGGCTCTGGAGCTCCGTGTCAGGGTGAGGCCTGATGTGAAGAAGAAGGGGGCTATGGCCTGAGCTCTGTAGCCTGGTTCATGCGGGAAAGAAGCCAGACTGCTGAAAAAAGGATATATACTCCCGAGTAAGGAATGTGTGTAGGTCAGGTGTCAGGGCCACTGAGTTCCAGGCCCTCCTATCTATTGTTACTGTCCTCCCAGAACGCTTGAACTCTCCTTTGTACTATGACAATAACCTCTCGTTGGTCTCCTTGCTTCCGTTCTTTCTGCCCATGGTTTTGCCAGAATGAGCTTTTGAAAAAGCATATTAAGTCATGTCAGCTTTTACTTTCAAAATCTTTCAAAATCTTTGTCAACCTATTACCTGCAAGATGAATCTTAAACTCCTTAGCCATAACCCCGCTCTCCTTCACCTTGTCATCAGGCTTTCTGATGGCAATGCTTTGTGCAAGAGAAAAATGGGGACACCTGGCTTGCTCAGTCCGTGGAGCATGCGACTCTTGGTCTCAGGGTTGTGGGTTTGAGCTCCACATTGGGTGTAGAGATTACCTAAATAAAATAAAATAAAATCTTTAAAAAAAAGGAAAAAAATGGGAGTAACATATTTAAGACTCCAAAGAAAGAAAATGTGAACCAAAAATTTTATATCACTGTTTTTTTTTTAGATTATTTATTTATTTATTTGACAGAGAGAGACACAGTGAGAGCAGGAACACGAGCAGGGGAAGTGAGAGAGGGAGAAGCAGACTTCCCGCGGAGCAGGGAGCCTGATGCGGGGCTCGATCCCAGGACCCTGGGAACATGACCTGAGCCGAAGGCAGACCCTAATGACTGAGCCACCCAGGCGCCCCCCAAATTTTATATCACTGTTATCAATGTGCCCGTCCTGAGAAATCTGCTAGAGAGTGAGCTTCAGACAATCAGGATGAAAGAGAGATCTTACCAGAATGAATGGTGGCAAGCATTAAAAATACAGTTACAGGGACGCCTGGGTGGCTCAGTCGGTTAAGCGTCTGCCTTCGGCTCAGGTCATGATCTCAGGGTCCTGGGATCGAGTCCCACATCGGGCTCCCTGCTCACCGAGGAGCCTGCTTCTCCCTCTGCCTGCCACTCCCCCTGCTTGTGCTTTCTCTCTCTCTCCCTAATAAATAAATAAAATCTTAAAAAAAAATACAGTTACATGTAGGACTAAAAGTAAATGAGCGTCTAAAAGGCAAGCACAGCATGAGCTGGTTATATATTCAGTTGATTGAGGTATGGGGGTATGAGAATAAGCAGAGTGCAGGTAATTTAAAAACATATTCTGAGTATTGGAGGTGGTGGTATTAATATTGTTATTTTCAGGCTATTATTGTATAATGTCAGATAATGTAAATGATGGGCCTGTTTGATCATCCTGTGTTTTTAAGAATTAGGAATCATTTAAAAAAAAAAGAATTAGGAATCATTTTTTTCCCCTCAGGACAACAACTTGCTGGGATTTTTATTGGGATAACATTGAATCTATAGATCAATTTGGAGATAATAGACAGTTTTAGAATATTGAGTCTCTCCAGTCATGAACAGGATCTATCCCTTCATTTATTAATAATTTTGAATTAGTAATAAAATATTAACAATGTTTTGTAGCTGCTGTGTAGAAAATTTTCCTTAACCTTATTCCTACAATTCGGGCTTTTTGATGCTATTTTAAATACTACTTCTAGATCTCATTTTCTAATTGTTCCCTCCTTGTGTATATAGAAATACAATTGATTTTTCTAAATTGAACCTATATCCAATGACCTTGCTCAAATTACCTAATGAGCTGATGGCAAGTTCTTTGGGATTTTCTACATCTACAATCATGTTGTGATCATGTTGTGTGGGGGTGACGAACAGTTTCATTTCTTCCTTTCCAATTCGTACATTTTTTTCTTGCCTTTTTGCAATGGCTAGGGCCTCTAGTGCAATATGGACAGACATGGTGAAGTCAGGTATTCTTGATCTCAGGTGGAAAACTTTCATTAATTCACCATCAGTATCATCTTTAATGTAGGTCTTTTAAAAAAGATACTCTAGATTCACAAAGCGCTTTTCTGTTCCTAGTTTGCTAAAGTTTTTAGCATGAATGGATATGAAATTTAATCAGATGCTTTTCTGCATCTATTAAGGTAGTCATATTTATTTATTCTGTTAATGTGTTAATTCTGTTAATAGGTAATAATTTATTCTGTTAATATAATCGGTTATATTCACTAACTGATTTTTTAATTCTTCCAGCTTTACTGGGGTATAATTGACAAAGAGAAATTGTAAATATTTAAGGTGTATAATATGATGTTTTGATATACATATGCCTTGTGAACTGATCACCACAATCATGTTGATTATCATTACCTCATGTAGTTACAATTTTTTTTTAATGGTGAGGACATTTAAGATTTTTCCTCCTAGCAAATTTCAAGTATACCATCCAGTATTGGTAACTACAGTCACTATACTGCAATTAGATCTCTGGAACTTATTCAACTTGCATAACAGAAACTTTGTACACTTTGACCAGCATCTCTTGGCAACCCCCATTCTACTCTGGGCTTCTATGAATTTGGCTATTTTAGATTTCATATACAAGTGAGATCATGGGGCATTTGTATTTCTATGTCTGGCTTGTTGGTCACGTTTGGAAGATGATGGGAAATTAATCTATTATCTTTAACTGGTAAATAAAGGGAAATAATT